TATGTATGATTAATATAATAATATGAAAACTATGTATGAATGCTTATATATATGGTATAAAAATTAATGTACGAATATTTACGCGTCAAACGCATTTGTCTGWTTCTTCTTATTGATGGCACAATCCTTTTACAATCAATGCACCTATGTATTAATTGTAAAAGTCTACAAGATAATATTGGTCAAAACTTATTAAATATTAATCCATTATTATATGTATAGAATATCTAAATATGTTGGAAAAGTRTCGACCACCATATGAGAATTGACTCTCRAGTCTTGAAGCGGCATTCTATAAAAACCATTCATGCATTGAACCGTACACAACCATTCTCATATTTTTCACAATTTCTAGATTTAAAGGAATGGCAAGATTACCAAGAGGGGGTAATAGGAACACGGAGCTGAAACTAATTGAAAATGAAARGGAAAGAGCGGTAACCTTSTCCAAGCGCCGCAACGCCTTATTCAAGAAAGGGAATGAGCTAGCCACGCTATGTGGTGTGAAGATTGCAATCATTCTCTTATCGATCGGTCGAAAGTCTATCTCTTTTGGCAACCCCAGTGTTCAATCTGTTGTAACCCAATATCTTAACTCGGATCAAGTCGACCAACAASCCGATGATATCGATACAAGGTCTGCCAATTCTTACCATGAGTCTACAAATCCGGAGCTCAATAAAGAACTTAATGAAGCGATTGAGCGCTTGGCAGAGGTGAAGAAGGAAGGACACATGCTTGATGAAATTCTAAAAAGGTCATACGGAGGGAAAACRCATAAGGAATATGTGAACAGCCTTGGGTATGATGAGCTCATGCAATTAAAAGGCAAAAACGAAGAGTTGAGACGTATTTGTGATGCAGCAAGTAGGCCTTCCTCCTCAAATAATGAGCATGATGCGGATCTATCTAAAATTGGAGGGCCAAAAGAATACTWGAAGCTGTGATGATAAGAAGGCAGAAATTATCTTGTAATTCTTATGTTATGATAATAATATCAAAATGTTGAGCTAARARTTCTATTTTTTGTTTTTCAATAATTAAAGTTCAATTTCTTTGTTGATTCATGCATGTGTAACAAAGTCGGATAACGTTGGGGCAACTTAACATCTATAGCAGCACTGCCACAGAAATCCCTCGTTTCTAACCAAATCAAACCAAACATACCGAATATATCCCTCCACAAGGTAGGGTCTGGGGAGGGATGATGTATGCAGACTATACTTCTACCCATGCGGATAGAGATTGTTTCCGTGAAGACCCCCACTTTATCAAACCCTGCTCATCCTGTTCTAAACATTAATAAATCCCTCCAGATTTATTTTCTTTCTCCAATATCTTCAAACAAGGAATATGAAGCCTAATTGTGGGCAACTCTTGAACAATGTTTAAATTTGATCTCCATCTCAGA